AATTCCGTCCTTCTCCCTCTGCCCCTCCTCTCACTCTCTCTCTCTCTCAATCTATCTATTTTTCTCTCTCTCAAATAAGTAAATAAATCTTAAAAAAATTAATAACTTATCCAGGAGCACATATCTAGTCTACACAGGGCTGGAAACATGACCCGCACATCCATGCGGCGATGCTTTGGGGGCTACCTGGCCAGTGTCACCTCCTTGGACATTTATTTCTCTTGTCCATCATCCCATCACTGAATGGTGCAGGGCTGTTCTGCTGTGCCTTTCATAGAAACTATCCCCCCGTTGATGATTTTGCTTTACTTCCTTCTGTCGTGCGTGTTGTCAGAATGTCTAGAAAAATCTGACAGCTGGTATTCCATTTAGGGACAACATTTGGGGGATGTGTCTTGAAAGGGCTCGCACATAGTCTTCCTGCACTTCTACTCAACTTCCAAATATAATATGATTTCACTGGCGATGAAATGGAAAATGAGTAATGACGGAGTGCCATTCTGTAAGGAGTCTGAAATGCCTACATCTGGCTGAAGGACCCAGAAGAACAAATGAAGAGGCCAGGGCAGGGCTGTGTCAGAGAGCCCCGGGTTCAAATCCCTACCCGTGATTTGACTTTGGGCAAAGGACACCACTCTGCTGAGCCTCACTTTCCTCATCTGGACCAGTGGGGCCGCAGAACTAATCTTGCAGGTCAGTTGCACATGTTAACAAATGACCAGCACCTGGCCGGCATGCTGGGCAGTTTCCTCCTGTCCCTTTACCTCCTGGACTGTATCAATTTGAATTAAGCAGTAAACATATTGGAGGCAGTAAATCAAACTTAATATATAGTAGAATTTGTTACGCGAACCCTTAAATAAGGAGCCGGTGACAGGCAAATAGATGATTCAACCACAAGACCACTCAGTTTCACATATGTCAGCAACTGGAACCAAATAATGAAATACGAATGTGTCTCTCAGTGTCTGTGAGCTTATGTTCCCCAAAAGCTAAATGTCTGGTGATTATAAGGGGTGAAACAGAAGCAAAACGTCTTAAAACTCTTACGTAGTACAGATAGTGAATGCGCATTGTGGGGAGTCACATACTCTTGTATCTAACCCATTTGGGTAGATGCTGATGTATTTATTTTTCCAAATGGTTAGAACACAAATAGTGAAAACTGACACCTCAGGACACTGAGCATAATTTATCTGAATAAGGGAATTCAAAAAGATCAGGGGGGTTGGGAGGGCCTGAAAGTCATACTGAGTATTCTCATGGGATCCGGGCCCTATCGGATTCGGGCTCGTGGGTTATGCCAGAGAGGCCCTGACTTCAGTGCTGTTCAATGACCTCATGCCCAGAGCACCCAGCACGGTAGGTGACAGCTGGTCAGGTGCCTGACTCAATCCGAGTAACTTCTCATCCAGAAGCCAGGTGTGAATAAAGGTAAGGTCTCCTTCAGAGCCCTTGAATTAGATTCTTCTAGTCTCTTCCCTGCCTTAATAAGGGTTTCTGTAAATGACTTCTTTTGGTGCTCCAGGAAAATGGGTTCTACACGTGACATGAACCCCCATCTCAGAGTTTCCTGAAGAAGTCAGGAAACCTTTCCTTCTATGTAGCTTGGAGTCTCATCCTGTTGCCTCTTGTCCTTCACCTGGGAGAAGATGGAAACATTCCTGCTTCTTTATGCTCCAGAGCCCTGTCTTCCGTAAAGATAAGGCAGATTAGAATGTGTCAGGGGCTGGTGTGTGTGTGTGTGTGTGCGCGCACGAGTTCGTGCATATATCTGTGGTCTGTGTTGGCCTAAAACTTAAACGAATAAAGACAACAACATCAAGCCAAAAGGAAAACTAAAAGGAGAGAAAGAAATCCAGAAACCTCTCCCATCACGGGGGCCACAACCCCCTGGGCTCCTGGCCTATTTCTCCTTTACGCTTCCATTCATATGGAAAGAAGGATGTTTGTGTCCTCATTCAGCGGACAGAAACGGAACACCTCTGTACAAGTCTCAGACCCAACATCTATAAAAGTGAAGAGTATAATCACTGACGTAAAACGATGCTGGTGGCATGTGGAAGGTCTCCTGTTAATGTCTAACTGGCTCTGCGTCACACGGATTGTGCAAATCCACATTTCCAAAGCTGTGTCACACTCCAGAATCCCAGTCTTGACCCTAACCTTGCTGTGCTCTGAGCTATTCGATTAAATTCTCCCTCTGCCACACAATATCAGTTTCTTTCTTTTTCTTTTAAGATTTTATTTATTTATTTGACAGGGAGAGAGAGCATAAGCAGGGGGAGCAGCAGAGGGAGAGGGAGATGCAGACCCTCTGCTGAGCAGGGAGCCCGATGCGGGGCTCGATCCCAGCACCCTGGGATCATGACCTGAGCCGAAGGCAGAAGCTTAACCAACTGAGCCACCCAGGCGCCCCAACACAACATCAGTTTCATTGACCACCTCCTCCTTCCTTGCTCAGAGATAGATAGATGTGCCCTTTCATCTTTTAAGGCAAAGACCTACACTTCTAGGTTTTTTTCTTTCTCATTGATGCCTTCCTCTGACATAAGGGAGGCAAGATTCCCAATCCCCATGGATTTCCCGGCTTTGGGTACACACTTGCTGTAGCAGTTTTTTGTTTTGTTTGTTTGTTTCTCGCTGCAGCAAAGTTTTAACAAGAGAAGGAGGGAGGACCTCCCTGGGCGGGAAGGTCAAGGTCAGCCACTGAGTCTCAAACGCATTCTTCTAGGGCACAGGGGCCTCAATGCCTGTGTGGCATCTCTTCCTAGACAACCCTGCCCAAAAATACAATCAGGGAAGCCCCTTCTCGAACAAGGAGAGGGCTGTGGGCATTAAATATATCCACCAGTGACTCTGATCCTATCCGAGATTGGAAAAATCTTAAACCTGAACACAAAGCAATGAGCTTGCATCTGGGGCCAAACAGCGCTGACATAATATTTAAAATACAAAACACACCAAAAAAACCCCAACTCTCTGATGTGAAAACAAGCAAATGGATTATGTAATCAAGGTTGCAGAGGTCATTCAAAAAAGCAATCTACTAATTATAAAGCAATGTTTCTTTTCTTAAATAAGACCACAAAGTTTAAGGCATTTAGTACAGTGACTGGAACTTATCAATTACCTCCGTCCCCCAAATGGTAGCTGTTGCCAATGTTATAAGTCTGAATCAATGAAAGCAGACTCTGTAAGACTTCTATTTGGAAAAATCCCTTTCTCAGTCACTTACTTCATTAATGTATGAGCTCCTGAATAATAAAAAGACATTGCTTAGAGTTCAGATTACTTCCTCGTGCACAGTCTGACCTTTCCCAAATTATTAAGACTTGTGACATTTCTCTGAACAAAACAATGATCCACAGACGAAGGCTCCTGTGGAAAATAAAATGCCCAGAAATACTCTTCCCACCCATCTCAAGAGTGTTTGCTGACAGTGGGGGGCTGGAGCCCCCGGGTGCTTCCATTGTTTGAACAGGGAGGAACGAGAGGGATGGGGGAGACCAAGGAAAACTTATCCAAGATCCAAGTTTTCTCCCATCTCTGCCTCCCTCCCTCTACTGACCCTCTCAGTGTCCCCCCCCCCCGCCCCAACCCCGCCCCCACCCTGCTGCAAATGGCCTTGGCTGTGACCATCCCACTCTGGGTGTGCAACTCCAAATATGGCCACTGATGCTACAGCCCAGGGGTCACACTGAGGCTAAGCAAGGCAGCCTCTGTACAACCACTGGGTTACGTCTGCCATTCCAGCATTTTTGAAAAATTTAAATTTGAATGTGTTTAGAAGGGGCATTGCTCTCAGGTTTACGCCCGTTCCCACCCACTACTCCCTATTTCCCAGGCTTGAGTTAATTTCATTTATCGCCTCGGAGTATGAGCATCTCTTCCTGTTTCCTCTTGCCATGGCCTTTAATCCTGCACACGATGCAGCCCAGACAGGACCCGTGGGCGTGTAGGTCTGAATGAGCCAATGTGGCCACCTGGACTAACCCCGCCCCGAGTAGACTCCCTGCCACAGTGCTCTGTCGGCTTGAAAGAGGCAGCTCTAAGACCAGGCAGCCGAATCTATTCTGGTGGCCACATCACAGCTTACCCACGTGTACATTGATTTCTTTAAGTGTTCATAAAAAAAGAACGGAAAATAATAGTTTGACCTCTTTAAGAAATCTCAGCACTGAACAAGTGAAAAATTGCTGGTAGCCTGATATCCTGTTTTAATGTAATTAAAAAATTTTTTTTCCGATGCATCAGCGTTGTTATAGTAGTTCTGATTTTCAAAGTTGGAAAGAGGGATTCGATTATTTAGCTTACCTGGAACTTTCTACTAATTAGGGGATCAGGTAGGTGGGGTTTTTTTTTCTTAAGTTTTCTTTCATGAGCCCCCCAAAATGGCCTCTCATGGGTCTATATTTTGGCCCCAGGAAAACCTTATTTCTTCTGAAACTCCATGGTTATGTTCACGAGAGTCCTTTCATGAAGGGGGCTCTTTCTGAGCAGCGCCCTCAGGGAACAGAGCACAGAGGTAAACCATTCCTCAGGGTCCTGAGAGGTAGGTGTAATTATCCTAATGTTTCTAGGCAAGGATGCACCCTCAGGGAAGGCACACCTGGTGTCCAAGGTCACACAGTTAACCACTGGACTGGATCCAAGTTTGCCACCAGCCGAAACAGGCCGTGGGTACCACTCCACATGGCCCCCAGTAAGGAAAGGCAAACACCACAAAGCTGCACATCTAATCAGAGACCTCAGAGAATCACTGGAGGAAAGACAGGGTCACTAAAGGTCCTGCAAAAATGCAGAGTTTGGGGAAAAAAACAGAAAGGAAATAAATAACCTGCTGCATCTTTGCAGTGAGGATCTTGTAACCTGGGTCCTGGATTCTTGGCTTCAGTACAAGGCACTCCAGCCCCAACTGTAAACACATTTTCCATCGACAGAGGATGTGGAGGCATGCGCTGAGCCCAGAGCAGGAAAGCAGAAGCAGGGGTACCTACCTCCTTCAAACTCTGTTTGGCAGTTCTCCGACGTCTCCTGCAGGCTCTCCTCCTCGTTGATGATGATGTTCTCAATGTCCTTCATTGTTAAATGGTCCCGGAAGGCATGGTAGAGGATATGCTTCAACTCCTCCAGAGTTATCCTCTGCATGTCGAACTGTAAAGAGAAAGAGGAGTGAGATGGTCTCAGGCACACGGGGCTGAGAAGCCAGCTTGGGGCATGACCCATGGCCCTAACGCCCCAAAGCGCCTCTCTAGGAGCTTCTCCCAGCTTTGCTGGGTAGCAGCTGAGCAGTTTGTCTGTCACATTCAGCTCCAAGCATACTCGGGAACTTGCAGGGGACTTGGTGGGAATACAGCGAGTGCAACATATCCCCCTCAACTGAGAGTCCTGGAGAAAAAGATGCCAGCTGCTAGTTTGGCTTCCTACTCACCCAGCCATCTGCTGTCACCTCCTCACACCCTGCACACCTCACGGACTTTGGAGTTGTGTCGCACTTCAGACAATGCACATGTCTCTAAAGATGATACAGCTCCCAAGGAGCCAGCCATTCCCATCTTGCTTTAAATATGTACCTTGTTTGGGGCGCCTGGGTGGCTCAGTCGGTTGAGCGCGTGACTCTTGGTTTCGGCTCAGCTCATGATTTTGGGGTCGTGAGATCGAGCCCCGCATTGGGCTCAGTGCTCAGTACAGGGTCTGCTTCCCCTCTCCCTCTGCCCCTCCTCCCCCACTCTCTGTAAAATAAATAGATAAATCTTAAAAATAAAGATGTACCTTGTTCTAACAAGATAGAATACAAGTTCAAAGCCATGTTTATGAGGAAGAGAAGCTAAAGGACAAGTGTAGCTTCCCCAGGTATGTTCCTCCTGTCCTAGGGAAAGGATTATACTCTCCCACTCCCTTTCTATCAGGTTTGGTCCTATCACTTCCTTGGCCAATGAAATGTGAGTAGAAGTCACATATGCCACATCCAATGAAAAGCTTTAAGAGCCATTCTGTGGTTCGGTCATGTGCTCTTTCCCCTCCGCCATGAGAACAGCATGTCCCACGTGGGGGCTATTCCTTCTGTCTGGGCCCCAGAACAAGGATAAAGTGGAGAAGACCTGCAGATACCCCATAAAGGAAAAATAATGTGGGTAAGAAATGCCCTCTGTTGTGATCAGCCATAAAGATTCTGGGCTTGTTTGCTAAGTTGGTTTAAGTCAACAACACAAAAATTAATACACGGAAGTAAGAGGCTACCCTAACAAACTTTCTAAAATAGGATGTTCCAGGGCCAAATGGTGGGAAATGAGAAAAATGTTATTGGAGCCTGGAAAGATAAAGACTGATGTATGTTATGCAGAAGCACAACTTTTGGTAAGTCATTGCCTGTGAGGACTTGAAGAACATATATATGACGAATGAGTCTGTGGCTTTAGGTAAGAAGTTTGGGGAACAGCATGGTTGCAACTGGTTGTATCTACAGGGTCCCACAAGAAAGAGGTGACCTCAGAGTGAAAGAAATTATACAGAAAAAGACAAATACTGTATGATTTCACTTATATATGGAATCGAAAACCAACCAATGGAAAAAAAAAATTCCTGAACTCATAGATACAGAGAACAGACTGCTGGTTTCCAGATTAGGGGGTGGCCGGTGGGTGAAATGGGTGAAGGGGGTCAGAAGGTACACACTTTCAGTTATGAAATAAATAAGTCATGGGGATCGAGTATACAGCATGGTGACTATAGTTAATAACACTATTGCATATTTGAAACCAAAAGAGTAGGTTTCTCATTAAAAGTTCTCATTACAAGGAAAACAGTGTGTAATTATGAGTGGGGATGGATGTTAATTCAGTTTATTGTGATGATCATTTTGCAATATATATAAATATTGAATCATTATCTTATACATATGAAGCTAATGTAATGTTATATGTGAATTTTATCTTAATTTTTTTAAAAAGAGGGAAAAAAAGAGATATGTTCAGGAAAGAATTGGTTGGTTTGCAAGCCAGGAATAGAGACAACTCAGAAATTCCTGGTCTTACAGAAGGAAAGAAGCAATTGTTTTTCGTTTTCAACTAGGAAGAGATAAAATCGAGAAATGCTATAAATAACAAAACAAATCTAAGCATTCCTTATTAAAACCTCTGAATATGTTAAGTGACTCTCCGAGGAAGCTGGTTATTAAGTTTAGAGAGAGTTATGTCTGAAAATAACTGTGGATGTGGCTATTAGCAGAAAACAACTGAAATCAAATAGATTAAAAAAAAAATGACTATGGTTTTGAGAGAGCTGTACTGGGCAAGAGCCAACGGCCTGGAATAAAAGACTCTATGACTGCTCAAAACTTAAAATGATCTTTGGGCTCCCAACCTTTTATGGGCACAAGCCATTAGGAGAATAAGCTACAGAGGCCCCAAGCAAGGCATATTCTCTAATGCCCTCATCAGATGAGTACTAGTTGACTAGTGCAAAGGGATGGATCTCCCAGATGGCAAAGCTGGGAACCATGCTTGAAATCATGCAGTGAACTCAAGAGCAGTTTCCAGGAAGCAGAACTAGGGTCTAATCAAGGAATATTCCTCGCTCCAAGGTCTGTTCAAAAAGAGTTTAGAATTGCTCCAAGTACCCTTTGATTGCTATGTGTCTTCCTTTTTTTTTTTTTTTTCTTTCTGGATAGGATTGTTTGGGGTGGTTAGCCTGGGTCTTTTCTGCCTTTATATGTTGAGTGTGGTGGGGGGATGGGGGGATTTTTTTTTTCTTTTTAGTTATATAGTCTCCAATCAGGAGGAGCCATACCCAGATTCAATGTATATCATGAGATTCTAGATCTTGAGTCTTATATGTTATAATTGGATGGGACTTTTGGGTGTTTCCCTTGGGGAGGGAGGAGTATATTTTGTGGCTGAAGGGAAGAAAATGAATATTGTTTTGCAAAGGTATGGGCTGTAATAGGTTTTATTATGTCCAACTATTTCTTTCCCCAACATGTGAGAGGATTCTATTTCCCTGCCCACTGATGTCAGGCTTTGGCCAATTAAATGCCAGTGAAAGTCATATATGAAAGTGATGGATGTCCAAAGAGAAGTCTCAAAGCCATCTTGTGTTCTGCCATTTCTTTTTCCCTTCTATCACAAAAACACCTACACCAAATAGGGGCTGCTCCTTCATTCTGGTTCCTGGAATAAATACAACGTGGGGCTAACTCATAAAGGGCTTTGACTTAAGAGAAATAAACCCTTATGTTGGCCACGAAGACTTTGGGATTTCTGCAGTATAACTCAGCCAAGAACGAATACAGAATAATATTTTATGTTAGTCTGGATCGCAGTGAAAGAAAGTTCTAGACATTTTTCTTTCTCTGCTTTCTTTGTAAGCAAACCTTACCTTGCTTTAAATATGCCCTTATTCTAACAAATGAAACAAGGTCACTGAAATTTGCTGGAAATCTAAATGACTCAAGTTCAAAGCCATTTATATAAGAACAAGTGAAATGGGTGTGTAAAGTGGATTTGTTTTCTGCATCATAGTTTATTGACTAGAGAGTGAATTATGAGACACACTTAGGGTTGACCTGCAGTCTTACTGCCCCTTAGATTTGATAGGGGAACATGTGGTTGTTAGCCTGGGTTCTGGGAAAAGGCTGGCAAAATGCAGGGTGAGGGTGATGGATGTCACAGACGAGAAAATTCGGACACCCTCCCACCCAGTGTGCCACAAGCAGAGACAAAGATTAGCATGTAACCACACACATTAGTACCACAGTTTTAAATTTCTCTCAGTACTTCTGATATCCCATTTTGTATTTATAATCGTACTTGTTTTTCTTTCTTCTAGCTTTGGTTTTTTTGTTTTATTCTGTTTGTAGGGATCATGGTTAAAGAATGCAGCCTGTACATCTGTTAGTTTCTAGAAACAGAAGGAGTTTTCCATTATGATATCTCTGCAGAGTCAACTACACAAACATATTTATCTTCATTAATTATATTATGTAGCCTTACATTTATAATCTGCTGTTTCCTATAACCTTATTTTCTGGGGACTACTTGATTTGTCAAAGACCATGGGTAACATATTAAAATCTATGAAGAGAACTGTATCTTACAGTCCTAATATTTCTTAAATGAGGCTATTCCTTAGTGCAAAGTTTCTTAATTCAATGAAGAGTTACTGGGGCTGACTCCATGCCAGACACTGATGGAGATGCAAAGGTGAGCAAGACATGAATCTTGCTCTCCAAAGACAAGCCAATAAGTGATGTTAATTCAGTGTGTTACGAGCCATGATAGGGGAAGCAAAGGATGGCTTGAGAACCCCTGGGGAAGGCAGCAGGTTCTAGAGGGCTTCCTGGAGGACAGGCATGCAAGCTGAGACCTAGAGGAAAGAGGTTTGCCAGGTAAGTGGGACGGGAGGAGGGTGAGGGGAAGGGAGGGGAGAAGGACATGATGGCCGCAACTCATGGCTATACCAAGATCTAGGGTGTGAAAGCTGACATGTTCCATGAATGGCTATAGGTTGGGTTCTTCTGAGAACTGGGAGCAGTAGAACATGGTGGGGGGTGAGGGGAGGGCCATGGGGAGGGTGCTAATCAGTAAAAGCATACATTCTGTGACAAGAGGTACATTCACATTGTTGTGTAACCGTCACCACCATCCATCTCCAGAACTTTTTTGATCTTCCTAAACTGAAACTCCACACCCATTCAACACTCTTCTCCCCATCCCCCTCTCTGCTCCCCCAGCCCCTGGCAACCACCATTCTACTTCCTGTAGACAGTCTAACATGAATCTGATACACCATATAAGTGACATCATACAGTGTCTGTCCTTTTGTGACTGGCTAATTTCACTTAGGTTCATCTGTGTTGCCTCCACCTTGTGGCTACTGTGAATAATGCTGCTACAAACCTCGGGGTGCAAATACCTGACCGTGTCCCTGCTCTCAGCTTTCTTGGGTATATACCACCCAGAAGTGGAGTTGCTGAGTCATATGGTAATTCTAGATTTAATTTTTTGAGGAATGGAGCTTTGTTTTATCTTTTAGGTAGAATGGGGTGCCCCTAAAGGATTTTCATTGGAGAAATTGCTTCACTGAGTTTGAGCTTGAGAAAAATTATCCTTGGTGTATAAGGGGCAAGATAACCAGATAGGAGGCTATTGAAGCAA